TGTTCCATCCTTGTTATGGATACATTTTTATGAACTTCAGTTACAGGACAACAGGTGGTTTCATCGGTCAGGGAGGCGCTAACCTGTCACTGTTAAAAGGGAGTTTTTCCTTCTCACTATAAGTGTTTGCTCTTGTGCGGTCGTCTGATTGTTGGAGTGTTCTTGGTAGGATCTTTCACTTATAATGTAAAGTGCCTTCAGACAACTGTTGTACTGATTTTGCTCTATATAAATAAAACTGAAGGGTTTAGAAATATGCTGAAAACTAGATATCAGCAGGTCTATGACACGATGCTGATCATGGGGTAGCCGTGGCTCATAAGGTTGGAAAGTTGGTGGTTTGCTCCTCGCTTGAACGTGCAGACTGGAATAGCTATCCTTGGGCAGCTCAAAGCCTGAGCTGTTCCTGACGCACAGTGAATTGTGTGAAGGTGAAACAAGGTGCATATACAGAAAAAAGCACTTTGAATGACTCTTATAGAAAAAGCATCGCCAGCTACAATTCAACCAGTCAGTTCTACATGAGTCTTCGTGATGTTGTTTGTCAAAGGATTTTTGTATTTTCCTTTCTTCTGATGATCATAGCACCTGTAATATCATAATGTACCATGATAGTATCATTGTGCAGTCACACTGCGTGGGGATGTAAAAAATGTCAGCTGTAAAAGTGTGATCTGGCTCACTGAATCCCAATAACTGGACACATTTATTTATTAATGTACTGTTTTTGGTGTACTGAAACTATTTAGCAGCTACCATACTTTATACACACGATACCTGAAAGCCTGTTTCTCTAAAGTGAAAAAATAAAATGTCCATATAAAGACAGTGGGAAGCTGTATTTTATTCTTGGTTCTTGGTGTTTTGCAGGTTTGACCTGTGGGAGGTCGCCCAGCATGTTTCTCTTCTTGAACATTGAGGTTAATCTGATTTGGTATTTTAAGCTTCCTTGTTTCGTCATCAACTGATCCTCATCACAGCAAATTAGTCCTTGAGTACACCGAGGTAATTGCTGTTATGAAATGACACTGTATACAGAAACCTAAATCTAATTCAATGTAAACA